TCTGTCTGTCCATTCGTCTGTCTGTCCATCTGTCTGTCTGTCTGTGTCTGTCCATCCGTCTGTCTGTCCATCCGTCCATCTGTCTGTCTGTCTGTCTGTCCATCCGTCCATCTGTCTGTCTGTCTGTCTGTCTGTCTGTCCATTCATCTGTCTGTCCATCCGTCCATCTGTTTGTCTGTCTGTCTCTCTATCTGTCTGTCTGTCTGTCTGTCCATTCGTCTGTCTGTCCATCTGTCCATCTGTCTGTCTGTCTGTCTGTCTGTCCATTCGTCTGTCTGTCCATCCGTCCATCTGTGTCTGTCTGTCTCTCTATCTGTCTGTCTGTCTGTCTGTCTGTCTGTCCATTCGTCTGTTTGTCCATCTGTCTGTCCATTCGTCTGTCTGTCCATCTGTCCATCTGTCTGTCTGTCTGTGTCTGTCCATTCGTCTGTCTGTCCATCCGTCCATCTGTCTGTCTGTCTGTTTGTCCATCTGTCTGTCTGTCTGTCCATTCGTCTGTCTGTCCATCCGTCCATCTGTCTGTCTGTCTGTCTGTCTCTCTCTGTCTGTCTGTCTGTCTGTCTGTCCATTCGTCTGTCTGTCCATCCGTCCATCTGTCTGTCCATCTGTCTGTCTGTCTGTCCATTCGTCTGTCTGTCCATCTGTCTGTCCATTCGTCTGTCTGTCCATCTGTCCGTCCATCTGTCTGTCTGTCTCTCTATCTTTCTGTCTGTCTGTTCGAACATCTCTCTGTCTCTCTATCCATCTCTCTCTCACTCTCTGTCTGTCTGTCCATTCGTCTGTCTGTCCATCTGTCCATCCATCCATCTGTTTGTCTGTCTCTCTCTCTGTCTGTCTGTCCATCTGTCTGTCCATCCGTCCGTCCATCCATCTGTCTGTCTCTCTATCTGTCTGTCTGTCTGTCTGTCTGTCTGTCTGTCTGTCTGTCTGTCTGTCTGTCTGTCTGTCTGTCTGTCTGTCTGTCCATCTGTCTGTCCATCCGTCCGTCCATCCATCCATCTGTCTGTCTGTCTCTCTGTCTGTCTGTGTGCCCATCTGTCTGTCTGTCCGTCCATGTCTGTCTGTCTGTCTGTCTGTCTGTCTGTCTCTCTATCTATCTGTCTGTCTGCCATTCGTCTGTCTGTCCATCTGTCCGTCCATCTGTCTGTCTGTCTCTCTATCTTTCTGTCTGTCTGTTCGAACATCTCTCTGTCTCTCTATCCATCTCTCTCTCACTGTCTGTCTGTCTGTCCATTCGTCTGTCTGTCCATCCATCCATCTGTCTATCTGTCTGTCTCTCTATCTGTCTGTCTGTCTGTCTGTCCATTCGTCTGTTTGTCCATCTGTCTGTCCATTCGTCTGTCTGTCCATCTGTCCATCTGTCTGTCTGTCTGTCTGTCTGTCCATCTGTCTGTCCATCCGTCCGTCCATCCATCCATCTGTCTGTCTGTCTCTCTGTCTGTCTGTGTGCCCATCTGTCTGTCTGTCCGTCCATGTCTGTCTGTCTGTCTGTCTGTCTGTCTGTCTCTCTATCTATCTGTCTGTCTGTTCGAACATCTCTCTGTCTCTCTATCCATCTCTCTCTCACTCTCTGTCTGTCTGTCTGATTTCCATGTCTGTTCATCTCTCTCTCTCTCTCTCTCTCTCTCTCTATCTCTGTCCATCCATCTGTCAATCTGTCTGTCTGTCTCTCTATCTGTCTGTCTGTTCGTCCATCTGTCTGTCTCTCTATCCATCTCTCACTCTCTGTCTGTCTCTCTATCTGTCTGTCTGTCTGTCTGTCTCTTCATCCGTCTGTCTGTCTCTCTATCCATCTCTCACTCTCTGTCTGTCTGTCTCAGCTCGTATCAGGCGTTACTCAGAAGTCATGGCTCTGCCGGACTCCTTCATTCAGAAGCAGCAGTTGGACGCATCGATGGCTGACACGTTTCTGGAGCATCTTTGTCTGCTGGACATCGATCAGGAGCCAATCACTGCGCGCAACACCAGCATCATCTGCACCATCGGTCAGTCACTGCATTGCCACAATACAATAATTATTTCATTTGAGGTACATATTTACTCTGAATCAGTTCATGCTTTCCCTGGGAATCGAACCCATGACCTTGGTGTTGCTACTGTTTGAGCTACAGGATAATCTCTTTTAAATATTTTTTTATATTTTATAATTTCAAAAAAGGCCCTGCCTCCTGCTCTGTCACCAAACTGCAGGAGATGGTGAAGGCCGGTATGAACATCGCCAGACTGAACTTCTCTCACGGCTCTCATGAGGTGTGTGTGTGTGTGTGTGTGTGTGCACTCGGTATGACACACGTTCAGCGTCTCACATGTGTCTCTTCTAGTATCATGGAGAGACGATCCGTAACATCCGTGAGGCGGTGGAGACGTTGACCTCTGACCCGCTGTACTACAGGCCTGTGGCCATCGCTCTGGACACCAAAGGACCGGAGATCCGCACCGGCCTGGTTAAAGGGGTACGACTGACCTGAGTAGAGGAGTGTGTGTGTGACAGTGAGTCAGACTCTCAGTGTGTGTGTGTGTGTGTCTGAGACAGTCTGCAGACGCTGAGGTGATGCTGGAGCGAGGAGCGTTGGTTCGGGTGGTGACGGCAGAGGCGGATCATGATAAGACGGATGGGTCGGTGATCTGGATGGATTATCCCAGCCTGCCCCGTGTGCTCAAGAAAGGAAGCAGGGTATTCATTGATGACGGGCTCCTCGCTCTCAAAGTCCTGGAGATTGGTAAAGCAAACAAACATCAGCTCACAATCACCGTTAAAATACATAGAGATTAAAAAATATATATTTTTCAGAGATTTTTTGCATTTCATGACAATGAAGTTTAAAACCAGCATAAATTAAAATGGGTTTGATTCTTCTTCCAGTTACATTCATGTCTTCAGATTTAAAACAAGTCGTACAAGGATAATGAAATCAAACTAAATCATAAGGAGATTTCATGATGCATCAGATTATTTGGTCATAAATGGATAATTTTTTTCACCCTGATGCATAAAGCATTTCTTGTCTCCTGAACTTTTCTTTTGTCAGGTGAGACGTGGGTGGAGACTCGTGTTGAGAACGGTGGCATTCTGGGTAGTCGTAAAGGAGTGAATCTGCCGGGGGCGGAGCTGGTGAACCTGCCGGCGGTGAGCGACCGCGACCGATCCGACCTGCTGTTCGGTGTGGAGCAGGATGTGGACATCATCTTCGCCTCCTTCATTCGCTCGGCCGAGGACGTGAGGGCCGTGAGGGAGGCACTGGGAGCCAAAGGACAGAATATCAAAATCATCAGCAAAGTGGAGAGCAGACAGGGTGTTCAGAAGTGAGGCTCTGACACGCCGCATGCTTCCAAACTCTTCCACATGTTTCCACATGCTTCAACGTTCTTCCAAACACTTGAACATGCTTCCACACGCTTCAACACACTTCCACACACTTCAACACGCTTCCACATGTTTCCACACGTTTCCACACGCTTCCACACACTACAACACGCTTCCACACACTTCCACACATTTCCACACGCTTCCACACATTTACACATGCTTCAACACACTTCCACATATTTTCACACGCATCCACACATTTCCACACACTTCCACACGCTTTCACATGTTTCCACACGCTTCCACATGTTTCCACATGCTTCAACATGCTTCCAAACTCTTCAACACGCTTCCACACACTTCCACACGTTTCCACACATTTCCACACGCTTCCACTCACTTCAACACACTTCCACAAACTTCAACACGCTTCAACACGCTTCCACACGTTTCCACACATTTCCACACGCTTCCACTCACTTCAACACACTTCCACACGTTTCAACTCGCATCCACACATTTCCACACGCTTCCACTCACTTCAACACACTTCCACACACTTCAACACGCTTCAACACCCTTCCACACATTTCCACATGATTCAACACGTTTCCACACGCTTCCACACATTTCCACACGCTTCCACACACTTCAATATGCTTCCACACACTTCCACACGTTTCCACACATTTCCACACGCTTCCACACA